CATACTAGAGGAAATGATGATCAAAGACTGCAGACATACTAGAGGAAATGATGATCAGAGACTGCAGACATACTAGAGGAAATGATGATCAGAGACTGCAGACATACTAGAGGAAATGATGATCAGAGACTGCAGACATACTAGAGGAAATGATGATCAAAGACTGCAGACATACTAGAGGAAATGATGATCAGAGACTGCAGGCATACTAGAGGAAATGATGATCAGAGACTGCAGACATACTAGAGGAAATGATGATCAGAGACTGCAGACATACTAGAGGAAATGATGATCAGAGACTGGTGACATGAGACAAGTCTGGTTGGAGACTGGACACGTGCTGCAGATGACTGCAAAGACGGGGTACACGTTACATGAGGCCAGTATAGATCACTGCTAATAACCCTTTACAGATCAATGCTCCCACTGCAGACTGCAGGGGCCAGGGGGGCCACACACGAACATACCGAATTACCACATTTGGTCCCCGGCTGCAGGTTGGGCACCAGAGAGTGTCTCTACAGTACACACCAAGGATGACACACAGTCATAACTATACCGATATGGCAGCTGCTCTCTATATCACAGAGCTATTCCTGTATATTTAGAATACAAAAAAATGGGCATCCTCCATGCATCTCTCACCTGTCCAATCCCAACGTCGAAGTATTCATAATTCACCATATTGAAGGTGCTTCCCGAGGTGAGCGGAGGCTGGTTGATCTCAGAAGGGTGTGTGGTGTCCTGCGTTGGGCAATCACAGTCCTGGAAATGTAAATGAGATATAAAGCATATTAATGACATGCCAACATGTGCCAGACGTATCTGTACTTCCCGATTTACTCACCGCAGAACCTTTTACTGCATGCTGACAATATGTAAATGCTTTATTGTGCAGTCTGGACACAGGTTCACTTTAAATAAGGCCACTCAGGTTATTTGCAGTTCATAAAGTTTTCTGCACAGATAGGGATTGAATAAGCAATAGTCCCTATCAAGCTAGAAATAGGGGTTCCCTATTATAGGGGTTCCCTTGACAGTGGTAACTAGTGATAAGTAGCACTTACAAGCATTGCACAGTAAGAACTTATTAGTGTGCACATACTGGAAAAATCTGTGTGCATCCAAAATTGTTCCCTATGAAGAAATCACAGAACCTTTCAGAACATTTGTACAATCTCCCATCAGCCAAGATTAGGAGAAGATTGTGGTGGGTCCTTGATGAGTCAGGAGGAGAGGAGACAGAATGAGGGGGGGTTATCAAAACTGGAGCAGACAGAATCTGGAGCAGTTGCCCGGGGGAACCAATCAGCATCTCTCTTTCGTTTACTCAGGTAAGAGTTGAAAATGAGACAGAGAAGCTGATTGGTTGCAGTGCAGATCTGATTCAGTTTTGATAAATCCCCCCCTATGTATTGTTAAAGATAGAGAGTCTCGGTTACCTTCAGCTGTTCCCTGTGTTGGACGTGGTGAAGGATTTTCTTCCTTGGTCCTAGTGGGATACCCAGATCTTTCAGGTCTTGCTCTGTGCACATGGACTAGAAATGAATGCGATACAAATCAAAACACAATGCAAAGTAGCAATTACATGTACACAAAGCACTATTTAATACAGGTGTCCCACGACAGGCTGGTGGGGAGAATGAGCACCGTCATTGCTGCAGCCATAACCCATTACATTAGGACAGTTATATGCTGTAAACAAGCAGCAGCAGCCGTGAGCTTGTACTGGACATTCACAGCTGCCATTGTTATCTCTCGTCTGGACTATTGTAACTCCCTCCTCATTGGCCGACCTCTACACAGGATATCCCCCCTTCAGTCTATCATGAATGCAGCTGCCAGACTCATCCACTTGACCAACCGCTCAGAGTATGCATCCCCCCTCTGCCAATCCCTGCACTGGCTTCCACTCGCCCAAAGGATAAAATTCAAAATATTAACAGTCACTTATAAAGCCATCCACAACTCCGCCCCCGGCTATATCTCAGACCTGGTCTCAAAATATCACCCTAACCGTCCCCTCCGCTCTTCCCTTGACATCCTGCTTTCCAGCTCCCTTGTACACTCCTCCCATACTCGCCTCCAGGACTTCTCTAGAGTCGCTCCCATCCTCTGGAATTCTTTACCCCAACCTGTCCGTCTGACCTAGCTACTGAACCATCACGTTCTCAAAAAATTCCTCCCCTCACAGCTACCTCTTCATGTATCATTTCCCCCTCCTCTTTCAGATTGTAAGCCCTCAGGGGCAGGGCCCTCCTTACCATCCTGTCTTGTATTGTGATTGTAATGTCTTCCTTACATTGTAAAGAGCTGCGCAAACTGTTGGCGCTATATAAATCCTATGTAATAATAATAATAATATATGGAAGGAGTGATCTTGATGGCAGAAGTGATCTGGGTAAAGCTGCCCCACCACCTCTACTGGCTAGCAGTTGTGCTGACATCCCTCCGCCTTATCTAAAAGGTAATCGGTCACGGAAATGTAATCTGTTCCCGGACCCGGGCAGATTGGGCATCTTCCATTTTATGTCCACCAATGCAGCTCATTCCCCTGGGCCAGAAATGATTCATGGATTTACCAGAGCTTCTGTATCCATCATTTCTTTCTCAAACATAGTGCTGAGTTCAGTCAGTTCCAGCTCCTGCAGCACTTCCCTCAGCGTCTGACTCCTCATCCGTGTCCCTGCTCCGAGTTCCGATGCCTGCAAACAGCAAAAACTGTCAGAACAGAGGGGCCAACTATTCACTCCTGTACACAGCGGGACCCGTGGGGGCCCCTACACGCTACACAGACACTTTCTTATGTGTTGTTAGATACACAGCAACCCACAACAGCAATGCAACACTGCAAGTTTCCATGCGCCATCAAAGTGCATTAACTTCAAAGGTAAAGGCACACCATTGTACAACTGGACAGAAGGCCATAGAACACTACACTGAGTGGCCAGATTATTATGACCACCTGACTTTTGTAGGCAAATTAGCTATAATTTGGCGCTGAAGTTGCTATAGGGCCAGACCATTATAAATAGGGAAGCAGGTTGGTTACCACGACAGTAGAAGTGATTTCTGAAGATACGGGGAAACAACGCGATGTAACAGCCTTTGAACGTGGGATGATTGTTGGCGCTCGGAGCCATGGAGCGAGGATCAGCAAAATAGCAGAATTTGTTAAATGTTCAAGAGCAGCTGTTGTTAAAGTGTTTAAAGACCGGACTGTCAGCCGAAAATCTGGGTCTGAACGTGCGAATTGTGGCCGTCAGCGACTAGTCAATGTTAGGGCAGAACGGAGAGTGGCAAGACTGGTACAAGACAACAGAAGGGCAACAGTGCCGTGTCAGATTCCTCGCATCACCTTTCACCATCTCGTGGAGTCACGAGGCGGCCCAACGAAGTCGTCTCGTGGACTCATCTCGTGACCCAACGAAGTACTGATGGGGTGTTCATAATAATCTGGCCACTCAGTGTATATAAGATCATGTAAAATAACAGATAGCTGTATCATCGCAAGACCTTAGTCTTGGACAGGCAGATCGTACTTGCGATCATCGCAAGCCCGCCCCCCCGAGGGGCGGGCTTCCGATGACCGCAATGCTGAACGGGCAGTGTGCGCACATCGGCCGGTCCGGCATTTGTCTCCCGAGCATCATTCAAACCAGCCGAAAATGGTAAGATTTTCGGCTGGTTTTCTAGCATGCTCCTTAGACAAAAGACGTGCGACCGTACAGTAGAATCGGTCGCACGTCTTCATTCACACTGCACGATCCTCGTACGATCGCGGGATTTCCAGCGATTCTCGTACGAGAATCGTGCAGTGTATGGGCACCTTTCGAAATCTCCAAGGTTTAATAACAGGTGTATAGATACAACCTCTGTAAACTTAACAGGGCCATCTAATGTGTTATGATCGTTCTGGGCACTAAGATCTCAGTGCTGCTCATTCTCTGTGTTCTCTGCGCCAAGAACATGTGTAAGATGCAGAATTTACACAAGTGTTAGTAACACTCGTTACCGACATTTACCTAAATATGCCTCCACCTGAATAGCCCACCCCTCAGGGGGGCGCGACTTGCGATCATCGCAAGTACGATCTGCCTGTCCAAGATGGGCAGATCGTAAATTTTTTTAATTACCTTACAACCAACGCAAGACAGAAGTCTTGCGATGGTTGTAAGGTGTGTGCCCAGCATAAGGTGTATGGGCACCTTTAACCTCTACCCTAACTCTTACCAAATTCACCTGCAACCCCTAAAAACTCAGCCCAATCCCTAAAATCTGCTCTTTAAGGTGCCCATACACCTTACGATTATCGGCTGATTTTCGTATGCGATCGCGTTTTCGTCCGAGATTCGTAAGGTTGATGGGCGGTGTACAACCGCAAATACTGTACAATCGTACGACTTTTGACTTTCCAGCAGGTTAGAAAACCTCGGTCCACGTACGATTTTCACAAGGTTGGTGGCGTTTACGTACGTCAAAATTCGTACGATTAACACTACTCATGCGCAAACGAAAATACGTGCGGTCGATTAATGCAATCCGTCCAGGTGTTGTTTTTAACTACCGCTAATTGAACCTTGCGATGATCGGGGCAGGATGGGGCCCGCCGAAAATCGTACGACGGTTCGATCATCGGACGAAAAGTTTGGACCGATGATTGCAAGGTGTATGGGCAACTTAACACTTGAACATGTGCTTTGTCCATGCAAGACAAAGCTACAGGTTCACTGTAATGGCAGCCCTACGAGCAGAACATACTCCCCTTCCCTTTGATCCCATACGACCAATGAGCAAAGGAAACACCCAATACTACCGGGTGTGGGGCGCATGTGCCTCAATTTCCTGCCCCCCACTGATATTACTGCTGCTTGGCAGATGCCTTCTCCTTGTTAGATGGGATAGGGAGGGGATCTTCAGCACTAGGTAAGCTCTATGTCCCAGCCTGGAACTTATTCAGGGCTAATTCTCTTCATTCTCAGATGCTGGATGGAGCAAGTGAAGGGGAGAATGTTCAGCCGGTGCAGCAGTGTTACAGAGAACATGTTGCATTGGCAAATCACAAGATTACGGTGCAGTTTTGGGCACCGGTCCACAGAAAGGATGTCCTTGAGCTGGAGAAAGTCCAGCGGAGGGCGACCAAACTCATCAAGGGGATGGAGGACCAGAGCTATGAGACACGGCTACTAAATTTAAATATGTTTACGTTGGAAGTGAGGAGATTAAGGGGGGACATGATTTTCATGTACAAAATGTTCAATAGTCTTTGCAACATTAGCAACAAACTCTTTAAAGGAGAACTATGAGAGGGGGGGGG